GCTGAACCCAAATAGCTTTTATTCTGAAGAATGTAGATCTCTCCAGTGTTTTAACTGTGTTTACACGTTTTCAGAGACACTTATCCAGCCCACACTGAGTGCATCTCTCACCAGGCCTCTGGTTTGGACCTCGCAGCTCCATGATTCACATTTTAATGTGCTTCAGCATCCATCAGCCCCCTGCTTAAATCAAAGGCTGAGGGGAGTCCTTTATTTCTCAAGACTTCCTTCACAAGTAACTCACTGAATGCACCCTGAGAAGAACCAGGGCCTTTCTTTGAGAAGAACAATGAGGACCCAAAAGCAATTATATTTCCCTCACTAAGTCTTCAGAGAAGCCAAAAAAAGTTGAGTTCTTTTAGAAATGGGGACAAACAGTTGTAAGGGGTTTTTGATGAGACTAAGTTGTTTGAAGTTAAAAACAAGCACTTAAATTAATAGAAAGTGCATTCATGACTTTCATCTCGGGTTACTTTTTCCTCATCTGTGCTGGGCTTGCTTGTTTATTTTTAATATAAAAAGTTCTATTTTTGGCAAATATAAAAGCCCTTTCACACCAGAAGTGAAATGAATAAACTTCAGGCTGAAGGGAAAGTACATTAACGTCCGTACAGTAGAATGCAGATTTAGAACTACAGTAACATCTTCTGATTTCTCTCAACATGGGGACAGGAGAGCTGTCAATCAATAAATTGAAAAAAAAAAGTAACTTGCGTTACTTATTTGAAAAAGTAACTCAGATATTCTCTTGTAAATTAAAAAAGTAATGCGTTACTTTACTCGTTACTCGAAAAAAGTAATCTGATTACATAACTTGCATTACTTGTAATATATTACCCCCAACACTGCTCGAGACCACCGCTAACCGCAAAAGATCAATGCTTTTATTTGTCAATTGATTTCCTTTCATATCATTGTTTTATATGTATTTTCCTTTTTGGAAAAAGGTGAAACTTCCCCAGCAAACAAAATATGTTCTAAGAACGTTTTGCTAATGTTGTCGCTACGTTATGAAAACGTTATTTCTGAATGTTCTCGGAACGTTCAAAACATCCTTTTTTTTTTTTTTAATGTTGTTTTTGGATATTCGAACGTTAAGGAAACATTCCATTTTATGATTTTGCAAACATTCTGCTAACGTTACTTTTGAATGTTCTCTGCACGTTCCGTCATGAGTAGGAACGTTTAAAAAATGTTAGATGAGCGTTCACCTGAAACGGTTCCAAAAAAAAAAAGTTCTGTGAAAAATGTATAAATGATGTTTTTGTGCTAACATTTTGAAAACATAATTAAAGACCAGATAACTGTAAATAAAGGTTTTATTCTAAGAACGTTTTGCGAACGTTCCCTTTAAGTAAATAAAAACGTTATTTCTGAATGTTCTCTTAACGTTCAAAACACATTTTTAGAATCTTTTGAAAATGTTTGCTTTTGGTTATTCGAACGTTCAGGGAATGTTACATTTGATCATTCTGCTCGCATTTCTTTTGATTGTTCTCTGAACGTTACAGCAACATTTAAAAAACGGTAGATGCAACTAAAACGTTTCTGAAATAAAAACGTTCCACAAATAATGTTTTTCTGCTAATATATTTTTTAGAACATTAACGTTTTATTAACTGTTTGATCGTAACTTTCAAACCTGTTAGCAGGATGACATCTTGACATTTTCTCTTTAAATTCAAAGACAGCCATAATAATAATTAATAATAATAATCTGTACTGTAACTCATGCTGGTTTGTCCCTCTCTGTATGTGGTTATGGGGTCATTTCCCCTCCGCGGGATTTGAAAGGCTCTAAACGATGGCGAATAATGGAATAATAAAATAACAAAATAATAAAGAGGCCGAATGAGTGTTTCGGGTCATATATCAGGCGGTTCCCCGCGGCCTCCTCGCCTTGCACATGTTAAACACGCCTATAGAGCCGCGGCTGAAGACGCTCTACATGAGAAAGACGCGCGCAATAAACGCCAGCAGGGCGCGAGAGGCGAACACAAGGCGGAAAGAGAGGGAGAGATCCAGCTTGTTCTCTTTTCACTTGTGAGATTAGAGATAAATAGAGCTACACGAACCCAAAGATGCGTGCGAGCGAGCCTTTGTCTTCACGAGGAAAGTCTTTTGATGCGCGCGCGTTGGGTTTGCGTAAAGCACTCGATCGAAGAAGTTTCGGAATGTTCGGTTCTCTAAACAATACGTAAATAAACCACTGTCTTTTAATTACAGTGCGTTGAAATGTATCTATAAAAATTTAATATATAAAATGTACAAAATTGCAATTTACAAAACTGTGTATATTTATACAATACATTTTATTTAGGTTATATTAGACGATTATAAATTCAATAACAAAAACTATAACTTGATTATAATTTTGTGTTGTTTTATTAATTATTTTTACATTTATTATTTTTAATATTTTTGGTTTTACTTGTTAGAATGTAGAATTATTATAGTTGATTTTCTATGCATTTATATAATACATTTTATTTAGGTGATATTAAACGATTATAAATTTTACATTCATTAAAAATAGCTTAATTATATTTTGGTGTTATTTTATTTAATTTTTTCTAATTATATAAGCCTTTTATTTTTTTTAATTATTATTATTATATTATCTATGATTTAATTAAGTATTATAATTTATAATTATTATAGTTGAATTTGTATACATTTATTTTATACATTTTACTTAGGTTACATTAAACGATTATACATTTTTTAATTCACTAAATTATCATAATTTTGTGTTCTTTTATTATTACTTTACCCATTTATTTATTTATTTATTATCATTAATAAATATATTTTCCTCCTAGAATTTTTAAGAGATAAATAGAGCTACACGAACCCAAAGATGCGTGCGAGCGAGCCTTTGTCTTCACGAGGAAAGTCTTTTGATGCGCGCGCGTTGGGTTTGCGTAAAGCACTCGATCGAAGAAGTTTCGGAATGTTCGGTTCTCTAAACAATACGTAAATAAACCACTGTCTTTTAATTACAGTGCGTTGAAATGTATCTATAAAAATTTAATATATAAAATGTACAAAATTGCAATTTACAAAACTGTGTATATTTATACAATACATTTTATTTAGGTTATATTAGACGATTATAAATTCAATAACAAAAACTATAACTTGATTATAATTTTGTGTTGTTTTATTAATTATTTTTACATTTATTATTTTTAATATTTTTGGTTTTACTTGTTAGAATGTAGAATTATTATAGTTGATTTTCTATGCATTTATATAATACATTTTATTTAGGTGATATTAAACGATTATAAATTTTACATTCATTAAAAATAGCTTAATTATATTTTGGTGTTATTTTATTTAATTTTTTCTAATTATATAAGCCTTTTATTTTTTTTAATTATTATTATTATATTATCTATGATTTAATTAAGTATTATAATTTATAATTATTATAGTTGAATTTGTATACATTTATTTTATACATTTTACTTAGGTTACATTAAACGATTATACATTTTTTAATTCACTAAATTATCATAATTTTGTGTTCTTTTATTATTACTTTACCCATTTATTTATTTATTTATTATCATTAATAAATATATTTTCCTCCTAGAATTTTTACAGTTAATGTACAATGCATTCTATACCCTCATAATGAAGTTTCTCACGGTCATGGGTGTGTGTGTGTGTGTGTGTGTTATAGTCTCATTATGCTCCGTTAACAGACGGGAGACAGAACTAAACATCACAATATACACAGCAAATGGTCTGTGTGTGTATTAGCGTTTCCGAAGTGAGTTCACAGGTACACACGAGGTGCTTGAGCGTGTGTGTGTGAGGTGTGTGTGAGGTGTGTTATTTTCATGCTGATGGTGCTTCACACCTGCGCTCGCGCATCCGCCGAGAATGGGAATCGATCATCAATCGATCATGAGCTCTTTGCATTTCATCATGAGGTGATAACAGAAGATATTATGGACGCATTCACGAGGAGAAACCAACAGGAACCTGGTCTTATAATTAGCGAAGAGGTGTGTGTGTATTCTGATATAAGAGTTTCTGTCTTTTCTTATAGGCTAAACTTTCAGATAATACGATTGCACACACGACA